ACTGTTCATGGAGACCTCAGTGAAATGGTTGATAAAACAACGAACGACACGGAAATATCTACCGAGAAATGCGGAAAAATCGAAAGAAATGAATGTGGGGATTGTTTCGCAACTTTCACTGAAAACAACCATTTCCAGGTCATGCGTGAATACCGCTTCCCGGAAAACTCTAAGTGACCTGGACACCGAGCATCCCAGACAAAAGGTCTTCGAACCTAAGTTCGATAAATCACTATGTACAGATTGAGAGAAAGCAAATAATTCATACATGTCAATCAAACGTGAAAATATCACGTGCATGGGGTCGGACCATAGGTTTATACGTTTCACAGATACTATCGATGCCGCAAAAGACGAACGGATCAAAGGTGCCCAAAGATTACGGCTGTGTGCAAAACTAAGATTCGATCAGAAGGCTTTCGCAGCGAAGCCACCTTCAATGGACCTTGAAATGAACATCAGCACGGGCACAGCTTCGGATTACGGTCATATTTGTCGGTAACGAAACTGGCCAGCAGAGTCAACGAAAAACCAACGCAGCAGCTCTTCAACAAGGCAGCTAAGGGCGAGCTGAACTCAACTAAAGATTGGAGGGAAACGGACAACATGTTCTCTGTATTATGCAATCAGATACGGAAGAAACGGAAGGAAGGCCGCGGCAGTTTCAAAAGAAAATGACTAAGAGAGGCTCGAGAGAGGGAAAGGCCGCTTCTTCTCCCACAATTACGGCGGAAACCTTATAACATGATCTGGAAAGGCCGCGATTCAAGGTAGAAGGTTCGAGACCGTGAGGAATTGTAAATTTTAGTACGCCAAGAGAAAATGGATCGGTCATGTAGCTCAACTGATATACAATCGGACAATCGGAGTTTGTTAAGAATTACAAACTGGGTTCCGACACCCCCCCCCTCCTAGCGTTGAGTCGATCGTCCGAAAAGACGCTGGAATGATGCGACCGTAAAGTTACTCGATCTGCGGCGGAGAACAGAAGAGATAAAATAGCGTATGTTAAACGAGCGTCGAATAACGGATAACTTTGATAAAACTTCATATCAATAAATCTTAGCTCAAATACCGACTACAGTACAAGCTGCCTAAAACACATCAAGGGAACAGTAGGCCAATTCCAGAGACTAAAGTTTTAAGTGTAAGGCCATAAGCACACTTACTGATCCGAATGACAGCTTCCGTTCACTTTTTGGTGGCGGCTTCAGCTCAGATTTCCCATTAGCGACCGGTGAAGGAACAGATTCTTGTAACGGCAATGAATGGTTTTCTGCTGCGACAATATCTGAACGTTCTTTACCTGAAACGGTATTTGTAGCATGTGTTTTCTGTTTATCAGAAGATGTTCGTTTGGTCAAACGTAATACGTGAAATTGTTCAAACTGTACAGAATTTCATCGAATGCAGAGTAGACTCCACGACTTATCATCGGTCGTTCTGATGCTATTCAAAAGTCTTGTTGAAGCATCAGGCGCTTAAAGGGAGAAACAGAGCAAAGCGACAGGTAATGACATTTTTGACCGAATTATCAACAGCTTTTATGAACAGAACAGAAAGCTGGCACATTTGTAGAAAATAAGTGAAATTATGTCTAAGGAATCAAGTACATGCTGGTTCTAAAGTTTCTACCCAGACCGATCAATCGGCGTAGATGCCTTGCTTTTGAAAAGGGCTAATTGGATGGGTGATGATAAGCAGTTGAGTACGCAGCAACATATGAATGGCAGCAGTCAACGATTTGAATGACTGGCGAAACTCCGCAAGAAAGTTACTCCGTCTGGAGTTTCTCCGTTAGTAGCAGACGTCTTAAACGTAGACATCGGTAGCTGATGTATACTACAGAAACGTTTGCTGGTATTAAAAATGACAAATTACTCTGCACCGGTGATCGTAGTCAAAAATAAAATTGTGGTATAAATAACGCTCTGCTGAATCGATCATTACCAGTACGTAAGCCACTGCTACTAAATACCCATTTTGATTTTCATGACATAGGTTATCAGTAAACCTGAGCTGAGCGAAAGCTAAAACCTCTGCCTCACCCGGATAACTAGTGAACGGTTTTCAGCATAGCTAAAAATAAATATAAGCAAAATTGAATAACAAACAGATATCAGTGAGAAAGCAGAAGAATCATAACTTAATAAAGTTAAAAGGCTGAACTTTTGACTAAGTGTGATAATCCAGATTTTGAAGTAAGACATAAAACCGTGATCGGTCGACTAAAGAGGCAATGACAATCAGGATCGTGAGAGCTATTTATATCGGTTCTGTCCATGGGAAGAAATGTTGACTACTTTGGACAGAAGGAAAAGGAGGCACCGTTAACACTTATTAATGAAAGAGATACGGCAAAAACTGTTTTAATACTACCTTTACACTTCAAACAAATATATTGGATGAGGAAAGCGTTTAACACCAGGAACTGAAAGAATTCGACAAGTTTCATGTCAATTGATTAGCAAAATGCTAAAAATCTGGTGCACTGGTCTTCAAAAATGGAAGAAAGCAAAAAACCCTAGGAATTTATGGCGGCAAATTAACAAGACTTTAAAAACAGAATAACAAAACAAAGCAAATCTACAGCAAGTATTGAGATGTTCAGCCACCGTACTTTTCATGAAAAGCTTCAATCCGCCAAGAAACGAAACATCGGTGTCGAACGGCAGTGGCGTGCTGGACGACTTCACGAACACGTTGATGCATTCCAAGTTAATCTGGTGTTTCTCTGCAACACCGCTCAGTGCTTCCTTCAAGGTGACTCCCTTAATAGCGACCAGTGTTTCTACCGCTGCACCATCAGAAGCTTCGACGGCGTCATTCGGCAACGACTCACTGCTGAGACTCTTGCACATCTTCACCGTAAAGAAGTCCTTTTCGTTGGCTGTGATTGAGGCATCCTGAAGAATAAAATACTAAGAGCAAAAGCAATGCTGATTTCATTCATGTGTGCAAGGTAGGCAAACGCCGTTCAAATCTCACAACCGTAAAAATGCACATACGTTGACCATGTTCATCTGTCTAACGACTGACAACAACCGACAAGGCTGCAACTGGATGAATAAGACACTGCTAATTTTAATGTTAAGATAAGCGCTGAGCCTGGATAAAGTATCTTTCTGAAAGGCACTTAAAAGTAT